GTGCAAAATTTAAACTCTCATAACTTCGAAATTTTTATAGATAGAATTTTTTTAATTTTTTTTTATGTTCCTGGTACCTTACCCTACATGGCATTTGTCTTTGGGGCGCGAGTTCTGGCGCACTCTGTATGTGCATATGATGTAGAACGTTACTCCTTCAACTTTTAAAATCGCGATATCTCAGGAATGGTGATTCTTGGAAAAAAGGTATAAAGACCATTTTGTAGATAATTTTAAGATCTATAATTTTCGTCTGAGCTACTTTTTTGATAAAACTTGCCGTTTTCGAAGAAAATCTAAAAAACATCAAATATTGACCTTTGACCCCGAATAACTTTTTTAGCACACATGGGATCGATGGGGACTTTTGACACTTTATTTCTAATGGTATACCCAAGGTCTCCACCAAAATTTAGCTCTGTCGGAATTTTCGTTATTTGACCACTATTTTTATGACTAATTTGACCGGACTACACACGACTTTCCTTATCCTACTTATTTGAAAAACATCCTTACGACTTACGACAATAATTTAGTTTTTCGTGCTGGATTGTAGGAAAAAAATATGTATTACACTGGAGAAAAGTGTCTTTTTCGTCGCTTATGGGAGGAAAAAAAGTAGAATTTTACAATACAAAAAAAGTAATTAAAGTCTTGTCCATTTTTTTGTATCTTGATTTTTTTGTATTTTTTTCTGTACCAGTTTTACATTATTTTCTCTGAATTTCTTTGTAATGAGGAGTCGTAATAAAAACATAAAATATAACAAAATCTAAATATTTTACTTTATTCAACTCGAAAAATATCCTGAAAAAAACATCTTCTATAAATTATTTAAAAATTCTGAAAAAATAAACACTACACTGACCTACAATAACACAATAAAACAATATTAAAAAAATTCAAAAATTGTGTGTTAATTTTAAAATTGTAAACGGGTTTCCTGCCTTTTTTGTTGTTTTTTGTATTTTCCGAGCGATTTTGTTGATTTTTTCTTATTTTTGGCATAATTACATATTTTTTTTAGTCAAAGATTATTATAATTAAATAAAGTTAATACTACAACAATTAGGACGCAAACGTAACGACTTAAACGCAAAAATATAAACAGTAAAACCAGAAAATACACAGAGTGAAAAACATAAAAGCGCAAAAACAAAAACACCCAACTTAAAAAATATATACAAGGGGTCCTAAAAAAACGCCAAAGTCTTTTTTTTTCCAATTATTTTAATATCGTAAAAAAAACATAAAATACCAAAATCCATAAAATAACAAAATCTAAATATTTTATTTTATTTTATTCGAAAAATACTCTGAAAAAATCATTCTCTTTAAGTTATTTAAAAAATCTGAAAAAATAAACATTAAAACAATATTTACCTACAATAAAACAGTATTTAAAAATTTCAAAAATTATGTAACTGGTGGCGAACTGACAGTGACAGAAAAGACACTTGGAGTGCGCCCACTTGGTTAAGATAAAAAAAATACATGGACGTACTTTTTTTTCTCTAAAAATTTTGAAGACAAGGATTGTTAGGAATATCATTTTTGAAAATTTTTTTCATGCGTTAACAATTTAATAATTTGTTCCTCATTCTTCATCTTATGTATGAGTACCTACTTATTATATTTTTTTAAAGAATAACAGTGGTTTTGAAATATTATTTCATACGACGCTTATAAACAATATTTTTTTTAATAGTAAACATATGTTTAGTGTCAAAATTCAGTCATTTTTGACAACCTCAGTTCGCCATCAGATTTGGAACAAGCTCTACTGGCCTTTTTTGCCTTTTTTCTCGTTTTTTGTATCTCCCAGAGCAATTTTGTTGATTTTTTCTTATTTTTGACATAATTACACATTTTTTTAGTCAAAGATTTTTATAATTAAATAAAGTTAATATTACAACTTTTAGAACGCAACGTTACGACTTAAACGTAAAAATATAAACAGTAAGAACAGAAAATACACAAAATGAAAAACATAAAAGCGCATAAACATAGAAATTTAAATAATACCCAACTTAAAAAATATATACAGAGGATTCTAAAAAAACGTAAAATTCGACGTTTGATTGTCATGTCAATATAAGAAAAAAAGCTCTTATAAACCTATGTCCAGAAATGATTTGTAAGAGAGTTAAAGCCTTTCAAAAATAAGGCAAAATGTCTTATTTTCAATTATTTTGATATCCATTCAAGATAACTTAAAAAAAATTAGAACGGGGTAATTTTTTAGCGCTAAATACACCAGTTTTATAAAAATTGTATTTCTTAACTAGGAGGAGGAGACTGTGGTCAATTTTAATAAAAAAAATAATTTTGGAGATGTTTTTTGTTTTTTTTTTAGGTTTTCATTAAAAAATGTCTATTCTATTATTTTTTGAATTTCCTCACATAAGGTCAAATTATCGCTCTAGTTTCCTTAGGAAGCATTTCCGGGCATTTTGTATCAAAAATTACGAATTTATATAAAAAAGTATACTTCAGAATTTTCATATGTAAAAAACTGTAAATGTTATATTTTTTTTATTCCAGTGTTTTTCTATATTGTTACATTTTTTTTGTTTTTCTTATTAGCCTATGTATCGTAATCGAAAAAGTATATTTATCGCAGTTTTTTATAATATTTCCTTTTATTGTTGCCTTGCATTTTTTTCTCTTAAAATCGGTTATAACGGCTTGTGGAACGAACTCCCTGCATACCTTGCATTCTGCCCCAATTCCTCCTCAATCCTCAAAATCTGGTTATACTTGGCCAACCTCTCGGACCTGCAAGGGGCCCCTGTCTTGATCTGTCCCGTGGAAAGCCCCACCACCAAATCGGCAATAAAGGTATCTTCAGTCTCGCCCGACCTGTGCGACACCATAGTCCCCCACCCATTGGCTTTGGCCATCTGGTGCGCCCTTATGGCTTCAGTAACCGAACCGATTTGGTTAACCTTGAGGAGGAGACAATTGCAGGCCTGTTTCTCCACCGCTATCTCGATACGTTTGGGGTTGGTAACTGTGAGATCATCACCGACGATTTGCCGGTCCATTTTTGAGGTTATCGACGACCAACACTTCCAGTCATCCTGGTCAAATGGGTCCTCAATGGACACAATCGGGAATTTCTTGACGAAACCTTCGTACATCTTCAGGAGTTTATCACCAGTGAGCCATTTCGCCTTGTTGGACTTCTTATTTTTGAAGTCCAAGTCGTATTTACCCTTTTTGAAAAACTCGGAGGCTGCAATATCCATACCAATCTCGATGCGGCCCTTGTACCCCGCTTTGTTTATGGCTTGGACTATGAGTTTGAGGGCGTCTTCGGCTTTGCTAATGTTGGGGGAGAAGCCCCCTTCGTCCCCAACAGCAGTCGCATTCATTCCATGTTTCTTCTTGATTATTTCCTTCAAGTGGTGGTAGACTTCCGAGCCCATCTTCATGGCTTCGTTAAAAGACGTCGCCCCCGTTGGCAGAATCATAAACTCCTGCATGGCCAACTTATTCCCAGCATGGGAGCCCCCATTTATCACGTTAAACGCCGGCACTGGGAGAATGATATTCTTGATTCCGGCCAAATCGGCCAAATGTTTGTACAAAGGAAGCCCCCTTTTCGCGGCTCCGGCCTTCGCCACGGCTAGAGACACCCCAAGAATGGCATTCGCCCCCAGTCTTGACTTGTTCTCAGTCCCGTCAAGCTTGATCATCAATTCGTCGATTTCGGTCTGTTGGGTGACCTCCAAATGGGATTTTACCAATTCTGGGGCGATGATGGTATTGATGTTGTCGATGGCTTTCTGGACCGATTTGCCATGGTACTTGTGTTTGTCGTTGTCTCGCAATTCGAGGGCTTCGTGCACGCCTAAATTTTGATTATTGTATTGGGAAAATTGACAATTTTCTGGGGGAAATACCAGTGCTGGCACCAGATGGTACAGCGGCTCGGAATAGGCCTAAATCTGTGATCAAGTCGACTTCCACGGTGGGGTTTCCCCGAGAATCGAAAATTTGTCGGGCTGCGACGCTCTTTATGGGCATATTAGTTCAGGAAAAGGAGAAATTACATTACAGGAATTTTGAAGTGGGGTCTAGAGGGATGTGGACACTGCTGCTGAAACAACAGAAGTGGTTTTGGGACGAAAAAGGTGATTTCTTACAGAATTTTGATGGAATGTCAATGTGAAAGACGGACAATGTCAGGAGGTTTGTGGGAGGCTTGATTTTAGGAAAAAACACGTTGAAAAAATGTAAGAAAAATTCTTATTCTGGCAGAAACTCATCTCAAAAGACATTCTTGATTATATTTAGACCTTTTTTTCTTATATTCTCTTACAAAAAGCTGGAATTGGCAAAACAAATTCTGTATGTATTAAAATAAGCATGAACCTCATTTTTATTTCATTATTTCAATAAAAAAAATCATTTTTGCAAAAACTCATCTCAAAAGACATTCCTGGTGTTATTTACACCTTTTTTTCTTATATTCTTTCAAAAAAAAATAAGATTTGCAAGATAATTTCTGTTTATATAAAAACAAGCATGAACGACATTTTTATTTCAGTGGAAAAAAACTCATTTTTGCAAGAACTCAACTCAAAAGTCATCCTTGGTTATATGTATTTAGAACATTTTTTTCATATTCTCTTATAAAACACTAGGATTAGCAAGAAAATTTCTGTTTGTGTAAAAATAATCAATGAACCACATTTTTATTTCAAGAAAAAAAATTTATCTTTGCATAAGCTCATCTCAAAAAACATTGTTGGTTATAATTAGACTTTTAGTTAGGATTAGCAAAAAAATATCGTTTATTACAAAAGTGAATCTCAATAAAAAAAATTCATTTTTGCAAAAACTCATCTCAAAAGACATTCTTGGTGTTAAACCACTTATATTTTTTTTTTCTTATATTCTTTCAAAAAAAAATAGAATTTGCAAGAAGTTCTGCTTTTAAAACCAAGCACGAACGACATTTTTATTTCAATGAAAAAATCTCATTTTTACAAGAACTCATCTCAAAAGTCATCCTTGATTACATTTAGACCTTTTTTTTTTCATATTCTATTAAAAAAATCTTCAATTCGGAGGAAAATTTCTGTTTGTAAAAAAATAATCAATGAACCACATTTTTATTTGAATAAAAAAATTTCATTTTTACCAAAACTTATCTCAAAAACATTAGACTTTTGTCACATATTCTTTCAAAAAAACTAGGGTTAGCACGAAAATTTCTTTTTATACAGCGTGTTTCAGAACTCACGTTCCAGAGAAAAATGCTAAGCAAAATAAGATAACACGAACATGAAAAAAATCTTTAAAAAAATCTATGCACAAAAAGTATGTAATTATAAAAATTATGAAAAACATATACAAGATCATCGGTAACAATAAAAAGACATAAATGTTAACAATTTTTATAGATAAATTTTTACAAACATTTTTTCCATGTTTAAAATTAAATTAAAAATTAAGACAGAACTAAGGAAATTTATAGAAATTCAAGTTGTGATCTAATTTTACTTAATTTAATTTTTTTAGTTAGTAATTCTAAGATCTTAATAAAATCACTAAAAAAATGTAATAAAAAAATACTTTGTATAACTCTGAATAGCCTGTAAGGTCTTACTGATTAGCTCTACCTCTTACTGTTATTTTTTAATACTTTATTTTCCTTTTTTTGATACCACTACAAAACTATTATTATTATCGCGAGGTTTCAGGATATCACACCGAGGGCAAACTTTGCTAATTTTACATAAATTATCTTCCCGGCCAAGAGATGTAAAAAAGGTTAGAATACAATTATTGTGAATATTTATATGAATTGCTATTAGTTTACATTTTTTTCTCAGTTGTCAGTTTAACTTGATGTATTTTTTTTCAAACTGAATAAACAATAAAGATATTATTTATTTTCGAAGTAATAAAGTCAGGTTTTGTAAAAAAAATCTGTTTGAATAAAAAGAAGCATTTTTGTAAGAAAAACTAACTTCAAAAAGCATATTTAGTTATACTTCAGTCAAATCCAGTTCAAAAAAACTTTTTTGTATAAAACGTTGAATAGCCTGTGATGGTCTACTACTTTTTTTCTCTATCATTTATTATTATAATTTAACACTTCTTTTTTATTCCTCTTTATCTTTTTTGATGCCAAAACACCCCACTACATGGGGAGATCTCAGGATATCTCACCGTAGGTAAACCTATAGCTAATTTTACGTAAATTACTTCCCGACCAAGAGATGTAATGATATATTCCCGACCTCAAAAAGATTTAGAAACGCCATATTACTAAAGCGATTGTGATTTTTTTCTCAAAGTAGTCGAGTTGTTAATTTAATTTGATCTATCTTATTTAATTTTTTTTCTAAATTTCTGAATACTCTAATAAAACACTGGTGCTGTTTGAAAATGTATTGTTCATTTCATACACTGTTTACAATCATACATGATACATCTATGAGCTTACATCTCTACTAAAGTCTGAGTTATTGTGGCTTGCGGAAGGCCTTTCCTGCGTATTTCGCATTGGCACCCAACTCCTCCTCAATTCTCAAAATTTGGTTGTATTTGGCCAACCTCTCGGACCTGCAAGGGGCTCCAGTCTTGATTTGCCCGGTCGAAAGCCCCACTACCAAGTCGGCAATGAAGGTATCTTCAGTTTCACCKGARCTGTGRGASACCATKGTKCCCCAACKGTTCMKTTTGGCCAAWWGGTGSGCTTMMATSGARTCYGTAACCGAACCGATTTGGTTAACCTTGAGGAGGAGACAATTGCAAGCTTTCTTCTCAACGGCAGTTTGGATGCGTTTGGGGTTGGTGACTGTGAGGTCATCACCGACGATTTGGATATCAGTGGAGGAGGTTATAGCCGACCAGGAGTTCCAGTCGTCTTGGTCGAAGGGATCCTCAATGGAAACCACCGGAAACTTTTTGATGAAGCCTTTGTACATCTCGAGGAGTTTTTCCCCGYAAATCCACTTGCTTTTGTCAGATTTCGGGTTTTTGAAGTCCAAATCGTATTGGCCGTCTTTGTAGAACTCGGAAGCGGCAATATCCATACCGATGTCGATTTTGCCCTCATACCCCGCCTTCTTGATCGCTTCGATGATCAAATTGAGGGCATCTTCGTTGTTCTGGATGTTGGGGGCGAAACCACCCTCATCCCCCACCGCAGTGGCGTCCAAACCAAACTGCGCCTTGATCACATTCTTCAAATGGTGGTAAACCTCACTCCCCATCTTCATAGCCTCAGTGAAGGACTTGGCCCCCGTTGGTAAAATCATAAACTCCTGCATGGCCAACTTATTCCCAGCATGGGAGCCCCCATTTATCACATTAAACGCCGGAACCGGGAGAATTATGTTTTTATTTCCGGCCAAATCGGCCAAATGTTTGTACAAAGGAACGCCTTTCTTGGCCGCACCGGCCTTCGCCACGGCTAGAGACACCCCAAGGATGGCATTAGCCCCCAGTTTGGACTTGTTTTCAGTCCCATCGAGCTTCAACATAAGATCGTCGATTTCAGTCTGTTGGGTCACCTCCAAGTTGGATTTGATCAATTCAGGGGCGATTATAGAATTGACGTTATTGATGGCTTTTTGTACGGATTTACCATGATAGTTGGCTTTATCGTTATCACGCAATTCAAGGGCTTCATGGACCCCAGTACTGGCCCCAGATGGGACAGCAGCCCGGAAAAGACCCAAATCGGTGATTAAATCGACCTCGACGGTGGGGTTACCACGAGAATCGAAGATTTGACGCGCAAAAATTGTTTTCATAGGCATGGTTGACTGAAACAAATGTCACAATAAACAAGAAACCCCCCCTTAAGAGTGGCAATCTATTTTTATTAATTCACTAGTTCTAGTGCTTTAAAATATTTTAACAGAAAAATACGACACTACAAGTATAAATTGGTAAAAAATATATTAAATCCTAACTCAGACGATTTACTTTTTAATACAAACAATTTTTTTGGGGTCGGGAAAGCAGGAAGATGACAGCTGTCACGTCACGCCGTCTATTTTTTGTAATTCACTAGCACTAAAACTGTCAATTACGCAATTTTATGAAATACAATTTATGAATTTATTATTATTTTACCCAAAAACTAACACTGTTTGACCTTGACTACATAAATTGCGATAATTGTGTGGAGAAAAAACACAAATTTAACAAAAAATAAAGCAGGGGTGGCGGGAACTGTTTAGAAATTAATTATAACTAGTTACTTACATAATTTTTACAAAATTTTAAAGCAAGACGAATTTTCCTTGCTATCTAGTAGCCGGTGCAAACTAAAGTGTCAAAATTTGACCTAGGCGACTGACAAGGGCGAATAAAAGTCACTACTTTGTTACAGGTTCCTATACTGCTTTTTTATTAATTTTAATACAAATAAACATGCAAATTTTGTGAAATAGACAAATTATTAATTTGTCGTTTAAGTAATAATAGTATTAATTTTCCTCTAAAGGAGTTACAGAGAGGCCAATCGTGGTTTCGCTACTCGTCACAAGAGGGCAACGCTTAAAATAAATTTTGACACAATTTCGGGAATAACCGGGGTTTTAATTATCCCGAGTTCTGAAAATCTAATCAAAGTTGACGTAAGATTATTATTCCGAGAAATGTAATAAATATTGTCAATTTTCTTCTTGTCGTTGAGGGAAAACAACCTAATTTCGCTGCGTAAACAGTTTATTATGAATGGAAAAAATTGTGCAATGGACGTATTGGAGTAGAGAAAAGAAGTACGTCAATGATTGTGATTTATTACTACAAAAGATAAATTATAATGAGCGCCAGCTGTATTTACTATCAAGTAATTTATTGGAATTTTCAGCTCTGTCATAAAGTTTGAGAAATCGATTGCATCTCACTAATGTGATACGGAAGACAAAGCAATAAATTATTCTAATTGTTGTTGTAAAAAAGTCGATTTGTTTGAATCACTCTGATTTACGTCAATGCAAATTTGCGTTGTGCTAACGTCCTGTTTATGTGACCCAATTGAGTCCTTGTTGCAAAAATTCCACGTTGTGCAAAAACTTGACCCAATAATGATTTCGTCGAAATCGGGACCCATCTGGTGATTTGCGCGGTCTCGGATGACTCAGGTCTTTGATGATGATTACAAAATTACAAGATTTGTAATGGTTGTCAGAAAATGAGGCCGGGATGATTATGTTCGGAGAAACGTGGTCAGGTGTTGTTAAATTCACATCAGCGAGAGGGGTTATTATTTCATTACCGACTTTTTCGACTTGGAGGAATGCCGAAAATTAATTGATGATGGGAGAGATAACTGCGCACAATCCGAGCCCATTCATGATAAGACGGGTATTGTGAATGAAGCGATGACCTTATGACACGATATCACTGCGATTTGAGTGACTCTTACGAGCAGCTGGAGTCTGATAGTAAATTTTAAAAATATCAATATTTACGCCGGAAAAATCTGTTTGGTTCTGAAATTACGCGTTTAAACGCTTCTGGTGGCGTTTCCTTTGTTAGGTTGGCAGCGGGGTCAATGACCACGAGCGTCAAACGTCGAAATTTTAATTCTGATTTTGCAAAACACAATATATTTGTTTTTAAAGTGGTAAAATAAAAAACAGAAGCTAGCAAGTTGACTATTTTTACGATATTAATGGAGTCTAAACAATCAAAATTAAAAAAAATTGGATCAAGATCAGAATGTTTTATGCACTTTTTGGAGCCTAGCAATCTATTTTTATTAATTCACTAGTTCTAGTGCTATAAAATATTTGAACAGAAAAATACGACACTACAAATATAAAAATTATATTAAATCGTAACTCAGAGAATTTATTTTTTGATTCAACAATTTTTTTGTGCTCGGGAAATCGGAAAGATTCAGTGGCACAAAAACTGTCAATAAATCAATCAATCAATAAATTTTAAGATACAATTAATGAATTTATTATTATTTTACTCAAAAACTAACACTGTTTGACCTTGACTACATAAATTGCGATAATTGTATGGAGAAAAAAACAAACCAATCAAAAATTAATAAAGAATAATAAATAAAGAACAGAAACCAGCATGTTGACTATTTTTACGATATTTATAAAGTCTGAACAGTCAAAATTAAAAAAAAACTCTGGATAAGAATGTTTTATGCACTTTTTTGAGTCTCTAGAAGCTCTAAGAGTACTAAAAAAGTCATTTAGTTCGATTTAAAAGTGTTTGATTTTTTTGAATTTTTTGAAATTCTGGTCGATTTTTCGTACCCGGAGCGGTTTTTCGTCAATAACTGCGGTACTAATAACTGTTGCCCTTTATGTTTGGTACCGTTAGAAAGCACTTTAAATTTCTCATCCATTGAAAAAAAGATCGTCACCATTTAATGCATACTTAGCGAGAAAATCGCTGAAGTAGGAAAAAATTACCAATTTTTAAATACGTCGTTACGTCGATGAAATAATCCGGATTTTTGACGTTTTCTTAAGTTAATCGATTTCTCGGAATATTTTACGTATTTATAGATTCAAACATTGTTATTCATTGTTGTAATTTCGTCGTATTAATAACATTTACAAAACAAAAATATTTTGCGACCCCGGGATCAAAGTGCTCACCTTCAAAAACTCAAAATATTCGTAATTTTTTAAATTTGACCTAATAACGTCTTAGGCATTTTTCAGACCTCTAAAAATTAAAAAAACATTATATGGATCAATTTTAAAGTTAAAAATTTTTGTCGAGATTTTGGTCGATTTTTGGCACCCAGAACGGTTTATTGCCAATAACTCCGGACTTATTGGTGATAACCTCTCATGTTTGGTACCGGTGGAAAGCAAATTTAATTTTCTATTATATACAAAAAAGATCAGTGTTCTACGATAAATACTTATCGAGAAAATTTCTGATAAAGTCAAAAATATTAAAAATTTAAATCCGCTTATAACTTCAAAATTATTACGAATTTTGCAGTTTTCTTGACGCCAATCGATTCCCTAGAACATTTTACATAGGTTTAAGTCAAAACATTACAACATTGAGACACAGTTTTGCCGCAGTTTACAAAATAAAAAAAACTAAAAATTTGTTAACACCTCCTTAAAATCTAGTGTTTTTGAACATGTCTCAGATTCGATTTAAACATATCTTATCCGATAGATTTTGACACGCTGATTTCGAATTTGCCAAGTATTTTGCGCCATCTCCTTTACTTTCGCCGTAATCGGCGTTTAAAAATTCAAATTTTTTTTGCGAGTTATCGATTTGGCTTTAGCCTCAATCGATAGATTTTTTTACGCTGATTATGATGGAGTTGAACTTTTTGCTCTAAGTCTAATAGTTTGGCCGTAATCGTCGTTCAAAAAGTCAAAATTGTCAAAATTGTGAAACTTTAAACGCGTTTTTCTACGAAACTATAAGACTTAGAGTATAAAGCTGAAAACCATTAGAATTAGCTTGAAATTATCTATCTAATGGCGCAAACCGGAAGTCGCTCCGGGTTATGGTTCCGGGTACAGAGCCATTTTTAGTTTTATTAAAAAAAAAATTATTATCTCAAAAACTATGAGTCCTAGATCAAAACGATTTGTACAGGCGTGTTCTACGGTTAATTTTACATATAGTGCTAGTTTTTCATAAGAATAAAAAAAATTTGATTTTTTGGTCAAAATCGGATATTTCTAGCTTTATTCTTAAATTTATTATTTAATATCTCAAAAACTATGCATCGTAGAGTATTTTAACTTGTTGCATCGTGTTCAGCGCATAATTTTACGTCTAGAAAACTATATTTCAAGCGTTTTTACGACTTTTAGTAAATTGACTATTTTTACGATTTTACTATCGCTCCCTTGAAAAACTCAAAAAATTCGTAATTTTTTAAACTTGACCCAATAACGTTTTATGCACTTTTTTGAGTCTTTAAGACCTCTAGAAATGTTAAAAACGTTATATGGAAGAATTTTAAGGTTAAAAATTTTTTTGATTTTTGTCGGGATTATGGTCGATTTTTGGAACCCGGGGCAGTCTATTGCCAAAAACTCCGGACTTATTGGTAATATCCTCTTATATTTGGTACCGTTGGAAAGAGAATTTAATTTTCTATCATATAGAAAAAAGATCAGTGCTCTACGATAAATAGTTATCGAGAAAATTTGTGATAAAGTCAAAAATATCGAAAATTTAAATCCGACTATAACTTCAAAACTATTAGGAATTTTGCAGTTTTCTTAAATCCAATCGATTCCCTGGAACATTTTACATAGGTTTACGTCAAAATATTATATCATTGTGGTACAGTTTTGCTGCAATTTACATAATAAAAAAAAAGAAAAAAATTGTTAAAACTAAAACTGGTGTTTTTGAACATGCCTCAGATTCAATTCTAACCTATCTTATCCGATAGTTTACGAATTTGCCAGTTTCGCTGTAATCGTCGTTCGAAAATTAAGAATTTTCAAAACTGTGAAATTTTAAATGCGTTTTTTCCGAAAGTATAAGAGCAAAAAGTTAAAAACTGTTAAAATCTACTTTAAATTATCTATCCAATGGCGCAAACCGGAAGTCGCTCCGGGTTATGGTTCCGGGTACAGAGCAATTTATACTTTTTTTGATTTTTTGGGCAGAATTGGATATAGTGCTCATGCTTCTAGCCCTGAAAAATAAGACGTTTTCAATTTTGAATGTAAAAAAATTAACATAAAATTTCCACTTAATTATCAATTATCAGTTGAAATATTGACTATTTGAAAGTACGTCGTGGCGTGATAAAAATGTGATAATCGTGCCGCATTCGCTGCACTTTTCCCTCCCGATGTGTAATTTATTCGCCATTATGCATCCGATTCGAAAATCTCAATTAAAGCATTCTCCTAGCGGTAATAAACATTTCTCGTCGCTCATCTCGTGTGATCGATGGAAAGTCGTCGGTATTTTTTCGTTTTGGTTCGTCTGAAAATCAGTCTCTGGAGGCGGCGGCGGCGCGAATAAATAACGAGCCGAAACTTGCAGATTTTTACAACCGTTTTATGGTTTCGTGATAACAAAAATCTCGACTGCAACTCACCAATAAAATCAAGTTTTCAATTTAATAGTTGGAGTAACACTGTTAAAACAGCTATAACTTTGCTTTATGACGCATTGATGGGGCTGCAATTGCCTATAGGTATGCATGCTTTTGGTTTTACGATGGGACGAAGAGAGAATCGTTAGTTGCTAGGCCAGGCCGCTCATTATTACGACGAAGATGTATCGTGAGATTTTCAATTCCTCGCCGGAATGCTCATTAACACCGAAAAATAAACATATCGCAAAAATAAATATATTTTTTGAATCAAAATTTAAGCC